GTGAAGCCAAGCTAAAGTGAGTTTTCTTGATAATCAAATTCTTGATGAATTTAAGGTTGCTTATTGATCATTAGATGATAACTAAGCTTAAAGAAAGCTTAGGTTATCTTAAAATCAAAAGATGATGGAGTTAGGAAGGATTAAAGAAAGGAAGTAGAAAAGTGAAATCTTGGAATAGAGTTCATAATAAGAATTAGAAGTGGGATTTGACTTGTCATCAAGCTAATTAAGGAATAGGAAGTGTTAGAATTCAAATTAGAACATGTTGGAAATTGAGTGAGATTCTTAAATTCCATATGGAGGATTGGATTTCTAAGTTTTAGAAGTATTGAATGGATAATAATTAGTTTAAGTAAGTGTATGCAAGTTAGGGATATAAAAGGAGGTGAATTATGAAGGGATTTCGTGCTAAAAATGACATTTATGGGCTATGTGCATCGATGCACATTCAATGTGTACCGATGCATCAAGGATAAATCCCAAAAATTGTTTAAGGTGTATCGATGCACATGAAGTGCATCGATGCACTAATTTAAAATAAAAACATCGAATGCCATCAGTGTATCGATACACAAGTAGTGCATCGATGCACCCCCTTAAATACAAACATCGAATAGGATATTGATGCATAGATAGTGCATCGATGCACCCGTCAAGGGATGCATCGATGCATACCTTCATTGAAAGATGAAAATGTCTTTTGTTTTTGCCCAAGAAATGATAGTTTAGAATATATTAATTAATATGTTGATAAGTATCATTGAATTACTATGTAGATACAGAGCCTAAACAAGTTCCAGAACAATTACCTAGTGAGATCGATCGAGGAAAAAACAAGGAAATATAGGTGAGGGCGTATGTATAACATGATTATAGAGATATATTCAGTTCTAGACTTGTGAGAAGTCTAGATTCAATACATTGATGCATGATTCATTTCATATTATGAAGCATGATATGAATCCATACTATGTGCATTGTGTAACATGTTTTAAATTAATATGTATGCAAAGTTATATGAGCTATGTGATGAAGGTAAGGAAATGATATGTCTATGTGATATATTATGTAATTTGGGGAAAGCCCATGTTATGTGGATGGGAACTATAGGTATAGTTGGCATGCCAAGATAGAGGGTCTACGCGGTCCTTCGGGACATATATGTATTCTTTGGAACATGTGTGAGGTCTTTTGAGACACATACTTGAACATTGGAATATGTATATGATTCTTAAGGAATTATCTACGTGGTCCTTAGGGACAATCTTATATGGCACTACGGTACAATTCTACGTGACACTTCGGTGCAATTTTATGTGGCACTTCGGTGCATTTATACGAGCTGTGGTGACAGCATAGTGCACAACCTCACAGTACTCATATACTTTAGGTTCTCAGTATGGTATCATGGGCCAATAATCTTATTAATAAGAATTCATGAATGTTAATATACTATGCTTACAGGTAAGGAACATGGTGATATAAACTACATGGTTAAGTATTTGATTTCATCTCATTCTATTTTATTATGGCATTTCCATTACATTTCTTTGTTGTCATTATTATTATATTGCCTCACTAAGTCGATGACTTAGCGTGTGAGTGTTTCACACGTAGGATCCGAGAAAGTAGACGAGACAGTAAAAGCAGCTGGACAACACTACTCCTACAACTATCAGATCAGATGCAACTTAATCAGTAGGTCCTTTTGTTATGTAAATGAATATTGGCATGTAATCAAAGGGTCAAGTTGTGTATGCTCTAAGTATTTTGATAAACTTGTATTAATATATGTATATTATTATATTTTAATAATATAAGTTCAAATGTTTTATCATTTTTTAAGAGTATTGTTTTGTTTAGTCAATGTGACATCCTGGACTTGTATCCGGGTCGGGTATGGGTTGAGGGTATTACACTAGGTTTTTTCCTTAAATGGAAAAATATGGTGAAGACTCAAACAGATAGAAAAATCAAACGTCTCCGTACAGACAATGGTGGAGAGTACAAAAATGATCCATTTCTGAAAGTCTGTGAAGAAGAAGGTATTGTCAGACACTTCACTGTCAGATATACACCACAACATAATGGGGTGGCAGAGCGTATGAATCGGACATTAGTGGAGAAGGTTCAGTGTATGTTGTCTAATGATGGGTTAGGCAAAGAATTTTGGGCTGAGGCTTTGGTCTATGTTTGTCACCTTGTCAACCGCTTACCATCGACTGTTATTGGTGGTAAAACACCATTAGAGAAATGGTTTGGAGAACCTGCTACATATTATGATTCCTTACATGTGTTTGGTTCTACTGCATACTATCATGTTAAGGAGTCAAAGCTGGATCCAAGAGCAAAGAAGGCGATCTTTCTGTGAATCACCTCTGGTATGAAAGGCTATCGTCTTTGGTGTCCAGAAATAAAGAAAATAATCTTCAGCAGGGATGTTACCTTTGATGAATCTACCATGTTGAGAAAGGTGACTTCAGAAAAATTGGACCAGACAGATATAACTCCCAAACAGGTGGAGTTTGAAGGAAGAAGAATGGTCCCAGCCAGTAAAGAAACTGATGTTGACTCTCCTATGGTAGAAGAAGAGTTAGATGAAGAAAAAGTTCAGACCCAAGAACCTCCACAACAACATAAATCAATTGCACTCAGAAAGGGAAAGAGGGCCATTAGACAACTTGCTCGTTATGCTGATATGGTCTTTTTTGCATCACCAATTGCAATTGATGACGTTCCTACCACTTTTAATGAAGCAGTCCAAAGTTCAGAACATAAAAAGTGGAGGATCGCCATGAATGAAGAAATACAATCCCTTCAAAAGAATCTGACGTAGAAACTAGCTAGTCTTCCGAAGGGAAAAAATGCAATTGGGTGCAAGTGGGTATATGCAAAGAAATATGGATTTCCTGACAAGAATAACATCCGCTACAAAGCAAGATTGATAGCTAAAGGCTACGCTCAAATGGAGGGAGTTGATTATAATGAAGTATTTTCTCCAGTTGTAAAACATTCCTCCATCAGAATTTTGTTGGCTTTGGTAGCGTAGTTGAATTTGGAACTAGTTCAGATGGATGTAAAAACTACATTTTTACATGGAGACTTGGATGAGGAAATCTACATGACTCAGCCAGATGGATTCAAAGTTGCTGAAAAAGAAGAGATGGTGTGCAAATTAGAAAAATCGTTGTACGGATTGAAGCAATCTCCAAGGAAGTGGTACAAGTGATTTGACAAGTTTATGATAGGGCAGAAGTACACAAGAAGCAAATATGATCATTGTGTGTATTTACGCAAGCTACGAGACAGATCCTATATATATCTTCTTTTTTATGTTGATGATATGTTGATAGCTTCTAGGAGTTAGACAGAAATTGTGAAACTAAAGACTCAATTGAGAAGGGAGTTTGAGATGAAGGATCTTGGTGAAGCGAAGAAGATTCTAGGCATGGAGATATCAAGGGATAAGAAATTGGGGAGGCTTTGTTTGTCTCAGAAAGAATATCTGAGGAAGGTACTAAAACGTTTTGGCATGAATGAGAAGTCAAAACCAGTTAGTACACCTCTTGCTCCTCATTTCAAGCTCGGTGCATCCATGTCACCTAAGGATGATGCAGAACGGGAATACATGTCAAAGGTTTCTTATGCAAGTGATGTTGGTAGCTTGATGTATGCAATGGTGTGTACGAGACCCGATATTTCACATGCAGTTGGGGTTGTGAGCAGGTATATGCATAATCCTGGAAAGGAGCATTGGCAAGCTGTGAAATGGATTATGTGGTATATTCTGAACACAGTAGATGTTGGTTTGGTCTTTCAGGAGGACAAACAAGATGGTCAGTGTGTAGTTGGGTATTGTGATTCAGACTATGCACGTGATTTGGACAAGCATCAATCAACTACTGGTTATGTGTTTACATTTTCAAAAGCACCAGTCAGTTGGAAGTCCACCTTACAGCCAACAATGGTTTTTTCTACTACAGAGGCAGAGTATATGGAAGTTACAGAGGCTGTGAAGGAGGTAATTTGGCTTCAAGGGTTGCTTGGTGAATTGGGAATGAAACAGAAAAACATCAAAGTGCACTGTGACAATCAGAGTGTTATTCATTTAGCAAAGAACCAGGTTTACCATGCAAGGACGAAGCACATCGATGTTCGAAATCACTTTGTACGAGAGATTCTAGAAGAATGTGGAGTCATAATCCAAAAGATTCGGACCACTGAGAATCCTGCTGATATGTTGACAAAAGTGGTAACTACGGTCAAGTTTAAACATTGTTTAGACTTGGTCAATATTGTTACAAATTGAAATATGAATTTGCAGACACTACTGAAGATTAGATTTTTGAGAAATGTGTGTGGAATTTGCCAATATGGAGATTTGTTGGTTTTTTGGCAAATTTTGAATCCCACATTGGTTTTGTATAAGGAGGAAGGAAAATTCTTTTGTTATAAATAGAGTCCTCCTCCTCCTTAGTTTAGCATCCCACAAATATAAGTCTTCTTCTATATTAAAGGTTATTTGTACTCTTTCTCTCTCTTTGTAATATTTCCTCTATTAGTGAAATATTATTTTAGTAGTGTTCGAGGACTTAGGCATAATTTTGGCCTAACCTCGTTAAATTTTGGTGTTCTCTTTTATGTCTATTTAATAACTATTGTCGAGTATAGTTTTTGTTAATTATTGTCCTATTAAAATTACTTGTCTAGGTAGTTCTGTCTAAGAAGAGTGGGTTTTAAGAGAGACCATTGTGACCCCTCCACTATTTCCTGGGAATCTACCTTGGGGTGATTTTTAGTACAATCGTTTTCACACTAGTCACCTAGATAATAGTTTTCAAGGTGAATTTGTTATTATTGGTGGAAATTAACCCGAATTTCACAACAAAGGTAACCTCAAGAATTCAACTCATTAGGATTCCATAAAACTCCCAAATATCACATACCAATTATAATAATACAGGAACGATCTATATAGAATTGTACATTGGATATTCTACCTGAAAAGTTGCACCGATAATAGTCGCGGATGTCCCACCAACTCCAATAGCGCTCAAAAGTGCCTGGGAAAGAAGTAAAATCAACAACCAAATATCAGAAATGATCAACATATAAAGCTCATAAGCAACTCGATATCAATTGGATTTGACAGTCACTTGTGTCGAAAGCATTGTTCTTATACTACATATTGAAACTTTAGTAAGGATTGCTAATTTTGAGCAGTCCACAAACGTTAATCAATATTTCATTTTCTTATACATGCAAAGAGTCCCATACTTGAAAAGGGACATAATCTGGAGTCACACTATCTGGGAAACCCTGCAACCAAAGCTGACTTTTAAGACTTGAAAATCATCTTCGGGATTTTGGTTATCCAACTAATGAAACAAATTGTGAAAGAAAATATAGTTATTTTTTAATCAAATTTTCATGAAATTTGGAAGACCCAACAAACAAAATTAAATTTTGAATGGAAACAAACAGAAAGGAGACTTGCCTCGGGGACAAAAGCATCGAAGAATCGTCTCCAAACATGATTGAAACCATTAACTGGTCTGTTTTAAGCCAAATAAAAAATTAAAAGCTTGGGGAGAGAGAGAGAGAATTGAAAAGGAAGGACCTTTGGATTTGGAAAGCAGGGGAGAGAGTGATGGTGTTGGTTTTGGAAAGCTTGGTAGAGGAAGATCCGTTCCATTCTTCGATTATTAGTTGTTGTTGCTTTGACATCTTTGTGGTTTCCAATTGATCATCCCCTCAACCAAAAACATGCACAATCCTCTGTCTTCAAACTAGTGTAGTTCAATTAGAGTCCCATGTCGTTGACCACTTTTTTATTGTTTAATTAAATTTTTTATTTTTTTATAATTATTTCCTTTAATTAAATTTATTTTTACTTTAATGGAGTATTAAATTTATTATATATTTTATTTTAATTTAATATTAGATTTAAATAAAAATAATATGATCAATTTGTACCAATGATAATAATAATAATAATATGATCAATAAAAATAAATATTGGATTTGATTATAAATTTTTAAAATTGAGTTAGGATCAATTTGGAATTAAATAAAATATTTTAGGATTAAATTAAATAAAGGAAACTTGAAAAAGAAAGATATACCATTTACTTTTCTAAGTGAAGAAAAATGTGTTTTTACCGAAAAATCATTCTAATAATAAAATATTGCTTGTCAAGCACTCCTTAAATTTTATCGATTTAGTATCTTTTCTAAAAAGGTGTGTTGCAAGGGGCGCGCCTTCGATGGATTTTGTCCGAACTGGCGCCACGGTGGGAAGGCACGTTTCCGGGGATGTGCCTTCGTAGGGAAATTCTGACACACGGAAGGCGCAGTGCAGGGGCGCGCCTTCTATTATTCCCCATTAAATTAGTACCCCTTCAATTATTGCCCGAAAATACGACTAACCACTCATTCCCATCCCCTCCCCTATAAATACCCTCGAATTCAACTATCAAATCACACCAAAATTACTTTCACATTCTTCCTTCTATTAGTTCCTTCTATCAAGCTAAATAGATTTTGTTATAGTTTTTAGAAGGTAAAATAATTTTTTATTATATTATACTTATTTAAATTTAATTATTTTATCAAATTTTATTGTACAAATTATTTTTATTACTTTTTGTGACTGTAAAATGGAATGTGGGATGTTACGATTGGATGGGGATCATAGCGCGAGACATTTTTTCGATATGGTAACAATATTAAATTGTGTTATTTAAATTATTGTGAATTTGTTTTAGTATTAGTTTATATTTTAATTTGTATACTATTTATTTAATTACGGGAATGATCATATATTAAAAATATTTATTTGTTTTTACAAATATAAGACTCAACACTAAAAAATCCATCTATTATATCTCTCAAACTTCTCAAACCGTCTAACTCTCAATCCCAAACTTTCAAAATGAGGTGTATTTCAGCTATTGTTTACTATGATGGAGAAATTCGGGAAAATGAAACCGATATTGTCTTCATATCAAATCATTATATCACATTACCCTTCAAGAGAAACATTACTCTTAAGGAGCTAATCACTAAAATTTCAAGGAAGGTTCATTTTGGGAGTATTGGAAGATTGTCCTCATTTTAGTGTAGATTTCTAACTACACTATTTCCGTTAACTTATACAACGTTTGTTGTAACATCCCAAACATCGGGTCAGTGGTCAAATTGTAAGAATTTTAAACTCAGTGTTTGAATTAGAATAATTCAATAAACTCAATGATTTATAGTTGAATTTATGTGTAGGGCTTATTGAAAATTTTGGTTTAGTGGAGAGGGCAATATGGTCTTTTCAAAGAAGGATTTTATCCTCATTTTTAAAGGAGATAGATACGTAGGTTTTGGAAGAAAGAAAAGAGAAGTCTGGAACCATTTCTTATCTCTTCTTCTATGTGAACTCCATTCATAAAGGTAAGAATTTGAATTTTGTGGTTTTCCTTTAATTTTTGGTTTGGTAATGGAAGTTGCGGGTGTTGTATAAGCTTAAGGAAAGCGTATATAATATTAAAACAACAAGATGAGTGTATTAGAGATGAATTTGTAAAATGGGGTTTGAAATGAAATTTTGATATGGAGAAGTTTTTGAAGTTTTGTTGAGATATTTGACTTGTCAATGGGCTAATTAAAGGTTTAGGAGTATTAGAAATGATTAAGAGCTTAGTCGAAAACATGGTATGATTTTTAGATGTAAGTGTTTTAGTGAAATTTTATATGTTTGAGAGTAGTAAATGTGTAGAAGTTGGTTTGGAAGTATAAGGGTGAGTTCAAAGGCTTAAGGTATGATGTATATGAGAGATTTAGGAGGTTTTTGGGGTTATTTTTGAAGTGAAAATGGTTATTCTGGGCTTCGAGTATTGGTACCGTTAGAACAATACTGATACTTCAAATGATTAATATGTGTATTTTAAGGGTAGTATCGATACCAGTTGAAGAGGGTATCGATACTATGTGGGTAGTATCGATACCAGGAGGATGGTATCGATACCATTTTTTAAGATGCAATACAGAATGCCAAATCGGTATCGGTACCTAGAGGATGTATCGATACCATGAAGGAAAGTATCGGTACTTGAGGGGTAGTACCGATACTTCTAGGCAAGAAATAGAAAGTAATAGATTCTTGCATCACAAGTTATTCTGATTGGATATAAATGATTCGAAGAACGATATTGATTTTTGATTGTTTTGTGTAGTGATTGAATGTAATCAACTTCCGGTTAGCTCAACATATTAAGTATCGATTTGAAAGGGTTAAGGATTTGGATTAGACTTCAGTGAGACAAAGGTGAGTGCAACTTCTCGGTTTTGTAATAGAATTGAGGAAGATTTGAGATAAGCCAACCTCAGTGTTTTCGATCGAAAACTTTATAAATTTTTTAATGTTATATTGCAATATATTATTCAATTTATATTATATAAGCTATGTTTTATGATTATATGATTATGAAAATGTGAACTTTGAACAAGTGAATGGGAAAAAATCTATGAGAGAGATACTATGTGAATAAGAAACACTTCGAATAATGATTGAACATAATTATGTGATTAATTGCGCAAAGTATATATATGAGGATTAAAGGTATAGTTGGCATGCCAAGAGTCGAGGGTTTTATGTGGTTCTTCGGGACAATTATGTGGTCCTTCGGGACAAATATGTGGCACTTTTGTGCAACCTATGTGGTCCTTCGAGACAATTATGTGGCACTTCGATGTAAATTACAAGCTATGGTAACAGCATTAGTGCACAACCTCAATGTACTCAAATACCTAGTGTTCTTAGTAGTATACCTTGGGCATTTGGAACAAAGATATACAAAATGAATAATATTCATAAGTATACTTTTTAATATGGAAAATAATGAGAGTTCTTTGTAAAGCATTTTGATAAAATCAAACTCACTAAGTCATCGACTTAGCATGTGATTTTCTCACGCGTAAGTTTGAAGAAAGTAGAAGATTGAGTTATCGAGGACAACATATCACTTGAAGATCAGATCATGACATATTAAATGTAGGTTTTTGTGTTAATTTTATAAACTGTTGGCATGTATTATACTTTTAATTAAAATGCTCTGATCGATTTTGTAAACTCTTATATTTTGGGTATTTATGTAAATTATTAAGTTTTTATGTAAGTATGTATGTGAGATGATTATCTTATTCAAGAGGTTTATACTTTTTTATCTTGATTAAAATTGTAATTTTGTTCCTATTTGTGAATTGCATATGTTTTGAAAAGTCAAATGTGACACATCGGATTCGTATCCGGGTCGGGTACGTGTCCGGGAGTTATATTTGTACTCTCCAACGATAACGATGTTACTATGATGATTGATGCTCAGAATCAAAATTCAGACATTGTTACACAAGTGTATGCCATATTTGTTGAAGTGTTTGTGGTTTGTGGTATGTCATTATGCTCTCACTATGGGCTGGCTCAACAAGCTAATCAAGTTGTCAGCCCAAGTAATGTGTAATGATTTTACCTTGTTAATGGCAAATATGTATCCTGGTACCATTGCATCAAGTTCAACGGGGAGACATTCATCAGCAACTTGTTACGATCTCTACCGAGATGGCTCCACGAATAATTTGTATGGTAACATCGATTTCAATTCAAGGGGAAGACATTCATCTTCCAATTTCTTTGACCTGAATATGGAGATGCCCTCGACATAACAATCTATTCAATATCTATTTGACACGATGCCTTCAAGTTCCAAGGGGAGGCATTCAACTGCGAGCTTCTTCGACCTCAATGTGGAGATGCATGTGACACAACACTTAGTTTAAAACCCGTATGACACGATGTCTTCAAGTTCAAGGGGAAGACATTCAACTACCAGCTTGTTTGACCTAAATATCGGTATCACAAAGGAACCCTTATCTCCACCAGAAGAAACTATTCATGAGCCAAGTGTGGATGTTGTTGATACTAGACTGTTCGTTGAGCCCGAATCGCCGCAATTCAACATGGACTCTGATGATGATGGTGTATATGAAGTTCCCACAAATATGGTACGCATTGAAACTTCAGCACACATGTATGAAATTGACTATGATACAATGTACAGGCCAGAATTTGCGGATATACCTAATGTTGGATGCAAAACAACCATGCATATCACCCAATATTAATTACAGATCTACAAAAAAATGTTGCATCAAATGAAATGTCTGTAACAAGCTTTTCTTGAACCCATAATTATTTCGTGTCACAGAAATGCTACGACCTCTTCAAGGGATTGAAGCTAAGTCGTTCAGAGTTAATTTACAAGATATGTGGTGTGACTGTGGGTTTTTTCAAGCTCTAAAGTATCCTTGCTCCCATATCATAGCAGCTTGCTCTTATACCCGTCAACACTATAATCATTTTGTGGATCTCGTATACCAAATTTTAAAAGTATTTAAGGTATATGAATTCGAGTTCCCCTGATAGGTAATGAGAAAGACCCAAATAAGGTTCAGAATTAGCTTATGGTTGTATCAGATCTGTCCTTATTAAGGGAGACAGGTCATCCAAAATCAAATCGAATTTATTGTGATATGAATTATAACACCCATTTCCCGTATACCTTTCCATACACGAGATACAGATGTAGCATCACTTTAAAAACATTTCTCATTAGAAAACCCATAAAATTTGTTTTTTTATAAACCATTTTAATTTAATAATAATACAACACTCATTAAACGTCAATAT